ATAATGCCAACAAAATAAAAAAATATATTTTTTTAATGTTGATACATTTTTTCATTAATATATAAATGTATATGAATTATATACATATACATATCTGTTAATTTAACAAGTTATCGGCTTCTATTTATTTATTTGTTCGCTTAATAACAATAATAATAGAAAGTACTTCACGAGTTTTGCTAAATATTTTATATAATTGCTCTAATTCCACCAATTTATTTCATTATTGCTCTCTTTAAATGTTAATATTGTTTTTGTTGTTAAATCAATTACACTTAATTGTTGCAATTATCATTAAAACAAAGTTATTATTCACTACCTTTTATTCATTACTGTTATATAAACATTGAAAAAAGGGGGGATACCTAAGTTTATTATTTTTAAGTGATAAAATATTCAATAAAACAGTAACAAAAATGTATTTAAAATACTAACTGCATAATATCAATAGTTTTCCTTGTTTTTATCAAAGAAAATCGAATAATAGAACAAAATAGCCATATATTCCATTGACAGTAATTGTACTCCAAATATTTCTTTATATGGTTAATCTCTGAATACTTAATGGTTATATATAAAATTTCAATTAAAATTTTTTTTTCGATATTTAAGTTAATAGGGTCGTAGAGAACTTTCATCATTCTCAGCATTAATATTTACATGCAAATCCCAACAAGTGGAAATAGTCACTCATACGCACTGCACTTTCTAATTAAAAATATTGTGACATCAGATTTGGCAATCTTAGCAAAAATAATCTTGTTTACTAAGTTCTACAACAATTTTCTGTAGCCCAAGTATTGAAAAATTCGACTCAAAAAATTACTAAATCATTTTACAAACTAAAATTTTTTATCATCACGACTTATAAGAACTTATGACAAAATTATACGAAAGTAATTAGTTGCTGTACATACACATATGTTTATGACTACTCTTTGCACAGTCTCCTATATGTATGTATGTACATTTGTTTTTGCATTTTACTCATTTGCGTCGTAATTTCTGGTCAAGCGCGTTTTAACTCAACCAAGCGGAACTCCCAAAAAGCTGCCAACCGTTGCTATTTAATAACATATACATATATTTATTTGGGTGGGCCAAAAAAAATCGAAATTTTTCGCTTGGTACAACGATCAATATGTTCATAGACACCACTAAGAAAGTCTCTTCAAGTATGAGCTCTTAATTGTTACTGAATGGTTCCCGGCCTTCTACTATTTATTTATTAATTATTTTTTTATTTAGTTTATTAATATTTTTCTTATTATTAGATATTAATTTTTTTTCCCCCACCCTAATATATACATGTACATACATAGTTTTCATTGCGCCTGCTAATATTTGTATCGTTGCTGATTATAACAAGTGTTTTCTGTTGCTTTTTTATTATTGGATGCAGAATTTAAATATTTGCGAGAAATTTCTCTCATACTTGTGTGTTTGTGAGGAACAAATACCGGCATACCGGCACACCTGCACACCTGCATAAATATACATATTAATAATATTATATAATACTTTAAGTGCGGCTTTTAATAGAATCGAATGCTTGTTTTTGATATTTAGCATTTTTTATAAATTTATATCATTAGTTTTGTTTGCGGGTGAGGGGTTGGAAAATATCTTCCGCAACACAGCAACGGTGTGTGCTATGTGCAGGTCACTAAAAACTTCCCCTCTAAGGAACCGTCGCCCACCCTGAGACCATATTTGCATTACTTCAGGGTGGCGTTCCATTTTCCTCATTGAGGGACTTACATCTGCGCACTCTGGCCAATACCTTAGATCTCAGCGCGGTATAATAGGACGTTGATTGTCGTCGACATTAGAATCTTTCTCCTTTCTTGGCTGGCGCCTCCTTCGTTGGCCATTAGTCTGCTCAGATGATCTTTGCTGCCTTTCTTGCGGTGTGCTAGATTTGTACCCAGAAGATTGGTCTGGGGTCCAGTCTTACTCCTAGGAAGTTTGCTGCTTTTTATGTCTTAAAAATATCCGTAGTCGTTTGCATACCATACTTATTTCGAGGGGTATGTACTTATTTGTTAGCAGTAGTAGCTCTGCTTTTTTTTCGTAGCGAACTGGAGGTTGTGTGAGTCGAACCATGATGTCCGTATCATGATCTGTTAAACTTTCCTCGCACATCTTCTATGTCACTTGTTGTAATTACAGCTGTAGTGTCGCCTTCGTAGCCAATTAAGCACGACTCATCTGACATTTCGAGTTTTAATGATATTCCACAAGTTTGGACTTAGAATGAATCCTTGTGCTGCTCCTGACGAGACCTCTATTTATTGCGATCCCTCTCTAGATTGATACATCAGTTTTCTGTTGCTAAAGTAGCCCTGCACCACAGCTCTGTGGTAGTAGGCGGCTTGTAAAGATTTTTTCCACCCATCTAGCGTTGTCGAAGGCGTTTCGAACATCTAAAGTCGCTAACATCATTATTCTTTTGTATTTATGGCATCTACACTGTGCGCTCTCTATTTTTTCAATGATGCATTTTATAACTTCTAGCATTGATCTGTCGGTTCTAAAGCCGTGCTGTCTACGGGAGAGCCTCCAGCTTCGTTGATAGCCATATGCATAGCGGACGGTATGCTGATGCCAAGTTGGGATCACCTTTTCCTTTACTGATTAGTACCAGCCATTGCTTTTTCCAGGGTTCAGGGAATATTCCGGCTTCGACGCAGGCGTTGTACATATTCAATTAAAAAAAAAATTCAGTATTTCTGCTGGGATCCCATCTGGGCCGGATGACTTGTTGGCCTTGAGCTTGGCAGCAATATTATTAATATTTAAAAAAAATTTTAGTTTGCATAAAATTTCTATAAATTTAAATATTTCCACCAAAATTTTTTATTGAGATCCATTATGTAACTTTTAATGCATTTTTGTAATTTTATTTGCAAACCAATTAAAAAATTTAATCAAAATAGCTGGAAAATACTCAAAAAATTGCTTGTAAGCGAAAACAAGAATTCAAAATCTCATGTTTGCTTTCGAGCAAATATTTAATCGCTTTCGAGCAAATCGCTTCAGCTTGCAGCATGAAAATTAATTTCCGTTATCTTTCTGTATTGTTTTCACTTAATCTGTTTGATCTCTCAAATACTTACATATCTTTTTTAATTAGGAATTTTTTATCGTTTTCTTCTTGCATTTTCCACATTTTTGTTTATCTAATTTTTAACGCTTAACCGCAAAGTGCGCGAAGCTTGCGTGTTTCGTGGGCTTTTCGCGTTTTTCTTCGCAGCAATTTACAAAAGTTTTCGTGCTTTTGGGCGTTCGTTGCGTAGCGCCTTAATGGCTGAGGCGCGCTATCTGTCTACTTTTTTTGTTATTATTGTTTAATGTTAGTTATTATTATTGTTGTTATTACATGCTTGACTTGCGGCGATCCGCTTGACACGCGCTGGTGTTTAAGATTTTTCAAACATTTTTTTCCTTTCATTTCTTGTTTTTATGTTTAACATTTTGCAAAGTTTTTCAAATTATTTTTTTTCGTTTTTAATTTTTTCCTATTTTTTACTTATTTCTTTGTTTTTATTTATTATATATTTGTTTTTTTCTTATTACTTGCATTTACTGCAGCTTCAAGTTGTTGCTTTTATTGTATTTTGTATTTGCCGTAGCTTAGTGTTGCAGTTGTGATTATTTAACAGCCATTACAACAACAACTGTACCTATTTACCAATCATATTGTAACAACAATCGCACATTTGCAATTATAATTATACCCATAAATACTTTGCAGCTCGTGAAACAATTTTTTTTCACATTTTCTAAATTCATTTGTCGATAATGTTTTCGCATTTAAATTACGGCATTTTTTATTTTTTTTTTAATTATTCAATGCATTTATTTTTCACTCTCTTATTATTATACAATCAAATAACAACCATTAAGCGCATTACAGAATCAGTATCGGCGGCCAATAAGGTAGCGTTAGAAAATATTTTTGCCACACAGGTGGTTGAATTATTGTTTGTTTTGACTTACCGTTATTGCATTTAAATTTGTTTGGCCCTCACTTACAACTTGCTCTTATCTAATATGAAATATGTTTAACTGATTGTGATATAATTACAATTTACAATTTACGTTAAACGCGTAAGGTAATGGATAACGTTTTGAAATAATTCTTCAAAATTCGTTTTTGGCCACATCAACACATGAGACCATACACCGATTATAGCGTAGAATGATATGTTCTCTAAACATTCTTTTTGAGTCAAAGAACATGAAAAAATTTACAGTTTTAGAAAATATGTTGGATTCGGAAATAATTCGAAATTTTCTGCGATTTTCTCGCGCTAATGGTCCAACAGCTCTGGATAATAATCGCTCTTGACACTTTTCTCTTTATTATTATTTTTAGTGTACTCATCATAATGTTGATCCACTAGTCGGAACGCCGAACAGTTAGGGTTGTTTGCGCGTGAGTTGTTTAAGCGGCGTAGGCGTTTAGCTGGGAATTAGGGTTATCTTTTATATGAGTGGTGTGTGTATATGATTGTGTATGGGATCCAACCCCTTGCCATCAGTCTTCAGCTGCACGGAAGCTCAACTGGTAATAGTTTCGGCTACGAGGTTTAATCGGAGACTAAATTCTACTACCACAGAGAGCAAGAGCTTTTGGAGTTCTCACAAACCTGCTCATGCGGACTGTGGTGGTGGTGATTGTGGTTAAAATCCGAATGCAGAAAAAACTGACACTTTTTCAGTTGAAATTGCATTGCCACCGGTTGCGGACCCAAAGTACGGTAAAAGGTTTAAGATGAGCCTCGAACTTTACCAAGGTGGTTAATGTGTTCATTCCATACCACCAGTTACATACATACCCTGGGAAGGAATGATTCGGCTTCTCACTTTAGCTCGCCTTCAAAAGGATGTTCTTTAGCTACTCAGAGTATTCTTGGTCTAAGAACGGAAGTCGTGAGCTGCTGTAAAAGAATAGTTTCTGGCAGCTTCCGCGTGACTGGCGCTCAGAGAAATTTCCTCACTACTTGAACTTCTACACATGACTCCATCAAAGCATAAAAAAAAAACAAATTGTGACACGTTACTCCAAAAACTCTATATACCACCCACCACCCATTTCATGCGGAAGCATGAGTGTTTTGAATGTAAATTCTCACGTCTAAACATATGGATTCAGTACTTGTAAGTACTATCATAGAAATGATGCAAAGACCATAACCCCAACAGAAGGATCGCCACAGACAAAAAATGTCTAAACTATACATGTCTTAGAGTGCTACTAACCTTAACATTTTACCCAAATTTGTAGTCTCAAACTTGCTCTGTATCGCGAAAATATGTCGGGTGACTCTAAATTGAAACTGGTTCTGTTAGTTGAAACTATTAGCAGCATACAGAAATGCATTCTTCTCGAATTTTCAATAAAAAAAAAAAGTTTTGTGATACCCACTGTTGCCTTGTAGCTGCATCTTTCTTAATTATCGACATAATCAAATCAATGCTTCGCAATTTCAAGGTGTGTTCTCCGCTCGCTGAATGTATGTCAGCTGTCACCGTTATTAATCACAACTTCATCAAAATAGCAGCTTAAAACCTGACAACAAAAGAAATATTACAACAAAAGAGGTGTGCCTTAGCCTAATAGGTGCGAATAAAGCGCCTCACTGTGTCACCACTGCCAATTTAAGCTAATTAATGAAGATTCTTCACAGCAGAGAAAGAACACTTCATACAAAAGCAAGAATGCGGCCTTTTTTTAGGTACAGAACAAATGAGATATTGTGACAATTTGGAGCTGTCATTCTTACAAACACATACACATACTCATATTTAGCACAGACAGCGTGCAGAATATTCGTTTGTGGAGTAGGACAGCTCCAGTTGGAAATTCGCCAAATCATTGATTTGAAAGTAATGTTGATGATATTTTGTATTATCAGCTGAGTAGTTGATAAAAAGCGTGTCACGATGGAGACAGCCACGTACATATACACATAAATATATAAACTAGTAGTAATTGCGCACTTCGATTTGAGCTGGCCATTGTACTCACAAAATCGCCAGTCGCTGCGAGAGAAAATCTCGCAGATTACATTCGCATTATGCTTCGTCTTATGGCATTAAAGCTTTGCGGCTGTTGTGCCTTTTTTTCTTGCGCTAATGCGCTTCAGAACATCCACAGCCGGCGAAATTTGTATAGACTGTGTCGTTGACCCAAATAGCTGCAGGCGATTGGGGTCAGAGTGCCAAATGGCACTTGATTGCTATAAAGTAAAAAAGAAAAAACAAAAAAAAATTTCAATCAAAAACAAAAAAAAAAAAAATATTGAAATAAATAAAAATTCTCATAAAGCGGCTGGCGAATAAAAAGCATGGAATAAAGGCTGTTATATGCCTCAAAAAATATATAATTATTTTGTTTCTTTTTATTGTTTCTTTTAGCTTTTGCAGACCAACAAATTCTTGCGCTAAATAATGCAATATTTTCCCGTTATTTACTTCATTTTCAGTCATGAAAATTTTATGCCCATGATACCACTTGGCTTGAAGGAAACAAAAGAAATCAGTTTTATGGAACCATTCTCCGATTTAATATTGGAACATTATAGTGAGGAGCCATCTTTGTACGTGGATGCCATCGCTGACATCACAGACACCAGACAGGTAAATTATTTAGCCTCTATATCGTCACTTAAAATGCAAAATAACGTAAAGCACTTTTCATAACTTAAGAAGTGAAGGAAAAGCAATGTAATAGGAAGCACGCATATTGAGATAATTTTTGGTTATAAAATGATTATATCTGGTAGCGAAAATGGTTATATAGGTTATACTATATATTGGTTATATCTGACAGTAAAAGCTGAAAATTAAATGCTACATGCTATATATGTAATTTGATGTAGTGAATCGTAAGCAATAAAAAACTCAATTTCAATTTTTTTGATGATACATTGCTTTGCATTTTAAGGTACGAAATAAAAATACAATATTTACAATACATCAATCAAAAGACTTAAGCAACGAACTCGTTTGTGTAAAATATTATGTTTCTTGTATTTACACTTTATAGGCGTCCAGAACACCATCACGCGATGCGCAAGGCGTGGCACTGCTTTTCCGTTACTACAATTTGTTGTACTATGTGGAACGGAGATTCTTCCCGCCAGATCGGAATTTGGGTGTTTACTTTGAGTGGTACGATTCGCTAACTGGTGAGTAATTTAAATTTTTTATTAAGAGTTTGGTAAATTTTTGGGGGAAAAAATAAAGAAGTAAGGAAGTGTTAATTTCGGGTTGAACTGAATATGGTTAAATACTTTTGCAAGTTATTAATAACAATGTGAAGAAAATATTTGAAGATGTCTGCAGAAATTTTATATAAATTAAGGAAGACACTTCGTTCGGGCAAATCAATGAAATGAATGTATGGGTGGAAATGTTTTTTGGTGTTAGCAAAATTCTTCGAAAAAATTCTATATATGAGTACAAAATAGATGTACTTTTGAGGATGAAATAGACGTACGTCTGAGTTCTACTTTGGTTACTTAATGTTATTATATAATATTCACAGAAGAGTAGAAGGATAAGGATAAGACAATTCGGAAATTAAAAAGAAAAAGAAGAATATAGAGGCTGCGCGAAGATCTTAAAATTGTGGAGACCAGACTGAGGACTAGATTAACTTCATCAATTCTAATGCTCAACTACATATATTATTTTTCTCTAAATATCTCACGTTTATCAAATTGCGAATTTGGTCCATAGATAAGGTCGGATATTAAAAATAAGGGTGCTAGAGGAAATAATGGGTTTTTCAATAAGAACGCTACAAACCAATAGGGACAATAAACGACGCTATATTTTTTTTGGCATTTCTCTTCAGTAAGGTTTACCATTTCTTCATGGAGAGATATGAGATCCAAAAACGAGTCGAATTTATTAAAATTTACTACAGAAATTTGGAGGCAGTAGCCTCAACTTTAAGAACGCTACGTACAATTTAGGGTCCTCATGATCGTCCTGTCAGATCAACAATGGAGCATCTAGTGGAAAATTTGAATCCACAGGCACAGCACAAAATGTTCCCGTATCACTGAGATAAAAGTGACCGTAGTGTCGAGAATATTGTTGACGCTAGCGCATCAATTGAGAAATACCCAAATCAGCCTCATCGTTCTCAAGCGTTGAGCATTTCAGTGATGTCATTGTGGCGAATTTTGCAAAAAGATCTTGGTTTACATGCTTACAAGATCAAATTGATGCGAGAACTGAAGCCGCTTGACCACTAAATTTATCGTAGGTTCGTGAATTGGGCTAAGCAACAACTTGCCCGGATTTCCATCGAAAAATCACCTTCAGCGATGTCTACGTCAACATGCGAAATATGCATTATTGGTCAGGCAGCGATCCACACGTAATCCAATGGTGACTGCATCTAGAAAAAAATGACGGTTCGATGCGGTTTATGGGCCGGCGGCGTCATTAGGCCGTACTTCTTCCATGAAGATCAAGACCGATCACAATCGATTTATTGAAAACCAAGTTTGGTGAACGTGTTATCTCACGAAATGGCCCAGTCAATTGGCCGCCTCGGTCTTGCGATTTGACGCCGTTAGACTATTTCCTATCTTGTTACGTCAAGTCTACGGTCTGTACCAACAAGCCAACGACGAGCTTCTCACGAGTGTCGAACGGGAACTTACAGCAGTATCGCCCGATTTATGCTTAAAAACCGTCGAAAATTAAGATCAACGTCTGAACTTCTGCAAGCGTGCCCTTGGTGACCATGCAAAAGAAACCGAGTTCCACTTTTGTAGCGCGCTCTTATTGAAAAACCGATATTAATAGTTTTCAGCACGTTGTCAAATTACTTGCAGAAAAGATATCCATTTAATTTAAGCAAACTATTTCATAAATTACCCATATTTTCAGTTATAGACACTCGGGTCCAAATATTCGTTGGTCTGTCTGTCTGTGTATACGCCAACTAGTCACTTAGTTCTTGAGATAGGTATCTGAAATTTTGTGCACGTTCTTTTCTCCTTAAGAAACTGTTAATTTTGTCGAAAGAATCGTTATCAGAGCACTATAGCTGCCATGTAACCTGAACGATCGAAATCAAGTGCTATATAGAAGGAGTTTTCATTTGACGAGATATTGAGATACCCTCCCGAAATTTGGCATGGATTTTCGGATAGGATTACTATGGTATATAGCTGACATACAAACTGACAGATCGAACAGAACAAAATTAAGTTCTGGTAAGGAGTTTGAAGGGTGTTATAGCTGTGGCGCAGATGATTCTCTTTACTGCGTTTATGTAAATTTACCAAGCTATTAATTGATTGAGATCATATTATTTAGAGTTTAATACTTATAAACACACTTTTCTGCTTTTTCAACCTACAGGTGTACCCTCCTGTCAGCGCACCATTGCCTTCGAAAAGGCCTGCACGCTCTTCAATTTGGGCGCCATTTACACACAAATTGGCGCACGACACGATCGCACCACTGAAAAGGGTTTGGATGCGGCAGTGGACAGCTTTCTGCGCGCCGCCGGCATATTTCGACATATCTACGACACATTCACCAATGCGCCCTCCATGGACCTGAAACCGCAGGTGCTCGACGTGCTCGTCTCCCTGATGCTATCACAGGCGCGCGAATGTCTCTTCGAGAAGTTGCAGCTGCAAATCGAAGCGCTCGGCCTCACCGAGTCCAGTCATGTAAGTTGATATGCTAATGCAAAGTGCTGCCGATGACAGCCACTGATTATGTCACTAGTTGTTCTACGCAGTTTCTGCTAGAATATTGTCATTATATTTATACGATTTTCTCTTTTTCCGCTCCGCACAGTTGTTCAAAGACCTGGCAGGTGAGGCGGCGCAATTGACGCTCGAATACAATGAAATGCACAAAAACATACAAATGAATGACACACACACATACTTGCCGGAGTGCTGGGCCGGTCTGGTGCCGCTCAAAGCTGAGTTCTACAAAGGTAATCATTTGGCTTGATATTGTTGTTGCACTTGACGCGCGCTCCATTTGCAGCTGAGAATGTCGCGCTATGCTGTGGCGCGCTTGGAATGCGACTGGCTTGCCTTGTGCTCACACACACACACATACGCATACAAGTGCGCTTACAAATTTATTGCGCACGTGTTCATGCCGCGCTGCACAATTCAGCAATAATCATAATCACAAGCTTTACTAATCGTTCGTCACCTTGTTTACTTATGTGTTTTTCTTTCATTCCAACTCTTTCTTACGCTCACCCGCGCTGGTATGTGTAGCTCTGGCCCACCACTACGAGGCGTGCAGCGTTGATGTGGCTGCCGACAAGACATCGCTCAGCACCAAGAAGAGTCAGGCCACATCGCATGGCGGCACCGCCAACGAGTCATTTATCGGCAATGCGCGGGAGGCGTTACGCGCCGCCGCCGCTGCCTTTGACGAGAGCGAAGAGGATGCGGCAAGCGCGACGGCGCTGAAACGCGCCCATCTCAAGGAGGCGCTGGCTAGTCATGAAGAAACGCAACGCCTGCAGCGCATGTGCAGATTTTTGAAGGTGAGTCTAAGCACTTATTTACATACATAAATGCATATATGTAGGTAGGTGTATATATAATATATTAGTAGCAGTATAAAAGAAGATGTGTGGTATGCCGCTAATTGCTGCTGCGCTTGCTTTCAATTCATAAAGTGCTGCCATTCAGCTTTGTTGACACTTGACATTAGGTAATCACAACAACACAACATGACTGTTGATGGCACACCACAAAACGCCCACCGCTTAGCGCTCGGCTTGGTGTGTCTTACCATGTTTGTAGTAGCGCTAGTAATTTATTGATTTATGCTGTTGTAAAGTCTAATTTATAGTCGGCCTTGATTATATGTGAGAAATTATAAATCTTCAATAAAGAATGCGCTTCGCTGCAGAATTTATTTAGATGCGCTGATTTGATTATTTTACCGCCAATTCAAAATTTTGAATTCTATTAAGAGTTTTTTATGAAAATAAATTCTTCATGAAAAATTTCATGCGGCGAATAGAGTTAAAGTGTGATTTAGAACTTCAATAAGGAAAGCTATATGAAAGGTCAGCAAGTCGGATTTGTTATATTTCAAGGTTATGTGATCAATTAGTATTGTTGAATTCGACATTTCGAGTTTTAGTATAGCATCGTAGCGAATGTTCAACAACGCTGAGTCTAGAATGAATGTTTGTGCTGCTCCTCATGTGACAGCTATCTGTCGTGATCCCTCTTTTGTTTGGTGGTCGGCAATCTTTAAACTTTTTCCGAGAGCGCCGATTATATTAGATTACATCTAAAATCGCCAGCAAAACTATTCTTTTGTATTTATACTATCTGAGCCATGCGCTTTCTACACTTACAATGACGCATTTTATAGCTTCTAGAGTTGATCTGTCAGTTACGTTGATAGCCGCTTCGAGTCTGAGTTTAAGTAGCCTCTCATAAAGCTTTCCTGCTGTGTCAAGCAAGCATATTGGACGGTATGCTGATGGCTAGTTGGAATCTCCTTTTCGCTTACTGATTAACCCCAGCCATTAGCACCATACGATGTAATCCATTTTGACAGCGGTTAAGTCATTTACCCAAGTCCCCAGGGGTTTTCGTTAATATCCTCGCGTACTTCCACCCATTTTTTTTCTTTTTGTCATCAGCGGTAGCGTGCTTCAGCTAATTTTTTGTTGATTTTTATTGCTCGGCTTCTCGGGTTGCGGCTCCTATGCGGATCTCTGAGATTTAGGAAGGCGGAGACATTTACATCTGAATTGGTCGATATTTTTAGTCCACCAGTAAACTTCTACATATTTTATGTTTGCTGTGGGAAGTATTGGACAAACCGTTATTATCTTCAAAATAGTAGACAATAAAACTATGGCAATATATTTTTTCTTTTGCGATATCTGCTCGTTGTTGTAAAGCTGTACTTTCTCTTTGATGCCAGCGCGATGATTTTCGAGCACTTTTTCCTTAGACAGCTCGCATAATGCAACTCTGCACTACTTTTGTTTTCACGAGATTCACTAAATGTTTTGGGGCACTAGTGCTGTACTAGTCCTGCTCAAGATTAATGCATTAACTCAGTGCTGTTGTCGAATATATGATTTAGAACAATTGTTGATATATACAACATAGATCCATCAAGTTTCCTAATATCTCATTCTGATTTAAAGGTTACGATACTCTTTCATCCAATCGATTGCCACAATGCCATTGTTCGTTTGAGAAAAGCAATTTTTTTTCGAATTCGAATATTTTTGAAAAACAAAAGAATCGAAAATCGTTAGTGGTTAAACCGTACATATATTATAAAAATCCTGAGGTGTATTATTTACTTTTAAGAGTGTAATAATTCATTTCTCTTATAATAAATTTGTGTCTGCTTCTGCTTCCAGAACAAACTAAGTCTGACGCAGGTGCTTAAAGAAGCCCACTACAAAACACAAGATGAGTACGAAAAATTTCTGGAAGAGGCGCCACAAAACGATATACAAGATGATTTTCACGTGATAGATGCAGTAACAGAAGGTAAGAGAAACGGACGCCTCAGAAATCTTAGAAAATAATTTAAAGCTGATAAAAATTTTATAAATATGTATAAAAAGTTTCGATGAAAATTAAGCAAACCATTACAATTGTCTGTAAATTATTTCTATCACCACTCTACAGCCTGTTCTAAATTCACACTCTCCCTAACCGGCCCCGATTTCACATCGTATAAAGTGGAGGACCCTTTCAAACGCCTTGGACCCATTGCAATATTCTCAGCACGACGCCATTGGACTGCGCCACGCTGTGTACGTCTGCAAAAAGGTTCGTCCATATATCATGAGAGCGCGCACACACACTACCGCTGTCACTGTCCGACGCCAAACGAGGGCCACGAAGTTGGCTGCAGTCAATATAAAGAGGATGTGGAGAGCTTCGGCTTTCATGTGCGTGGCGATGCGCCGGTCATTATAGCGCATGTCGAAATCAACTCGCTGGCTGATGTGAGTTGTTGTAGTTAAGGATTTTTAAACGGAATGATATTTATTTATTTTTCTCATTTATAAAAAAAAAAAAACAGTTGGGCGGCATTAAGGAGGGTGATTTTATAGTGGAAATCGCCGGCATCGATGTGAAATGGTATTCACATCAACAGGTGGTGCGCTTAATACAGTCATGTGGTAGCACGCTGGAGCTGAAAGTCATTACGCCAATGGATAGAAATTATCTGAAGGTGAGGCGTTAAAGAAATATATATTTTTGATTGCTTTTAGTGATTTGTATTTTTATCTAATGATTTTTTTTTATTTCCATTTTATAATCAAAGCCACTGTCGTCGAAAGGCTCGATTTCCACGCTCTCTGCAGCCAGCTCATCCGGCGTTTCGTCCGGTTCATCCAGTCCTACTGGCACCACAACGAAACCAAAAGCCCGTTTCAAGACCACATCGCCGAAGAGCCGCCTGGGCAGCCTCTCATCGAGTTCATGGAATCCCTTCAGACGCACGCCGAGTTTAGCGAAGATTTTCTGAAGCAAAAACAAAGGCAAGAAAACAATTTCAACTCCATTGGTGGCCATTTTGTGCGTTTGGCGAAAAATCCTTCCGCATTCACTTTCAATATTCATTTAACTTAATGTAATGCAGACTTAGTAACCGTTAGATCATATATTATATATATACTTATTTTTACTATTTCTTCTTTGTTATGTGTTCGTGTGTTTATTTCTTTGTTTTTCTTTTATTGTCAGAAGGGAAACAGAAGAATTTTCAGTTGAATTGAAATTTGTTTGCGATTTTTTTCTTAACGGTTTTTTTTTGTTGTTTGCATGCCGCAATAATTTCGTTTATTTTCTGGGTTATGGAAAATATTTGTTAATTGTAAATTATATGCAAAAAATTTAAAAATATGCTATAAAATATTTTCTTATCTTAAAATGTAATTTTATTAATATTATTTGAAGGAAAATCGGCTTAGTTACGTCAAAGCGCTTTCAAACTAGCTGAACGCCGCTTAAAAAAATATCTAAAAATTAGTAAAACACATATATACTACAAAAATTAAAAATTTACTGTTATCTGGTATATATGTATGTATATTTGAAATATATATTTTTGTAAATCAACCGATGAACGCAGGGTTTAAGAGCAAAATCCATATATTTACACCTTAAGTGCTTTTTTTTATATACCAGTAAATATTTATATAATATGTACTTATGGCTTTTGAGAAGCTTAAAAAATTATTTTATATGTATGTATATATACTTTAACGCCATTATATATTTATAATTGTGGCGTATGTTTATAGAGTTTAAAGATATATGTTAAATATGCACAAAATATTATATTTAGGTTCGATAATGTATATAATAACATATAATATATGTACTATATATGAATATGTGAAGGTGTGTTTATATACAAATATACGCATTTATTGTATCATATATATATTTTATTTGAATGTAAAAATAAAGAATATTCATTTAATAAAGGAGCAATGTCTCGGTAGAATTATTTTTGGTCAAAAAAAAAAAAACATTTTGAAGGTTAGTTGGAAGATTTGGAAAATTTTTGACTCAATTTTTTGGGATTATACACATAGTCAGAACGTCTTGCGGTACTTAAAATATTCTTCTCGATTATAAAATGGATTTAAATCGCGAACATTTTCGTGCGATTATTTTTTACAACTTTCGATATGGATTAACTCAACAATAGTGCTTTGATGAACGTAATTCAATCTTTGACAATGGAACTCCTTTAAGGACCAGTATATATCGATGATATTCTATCGAAGCCGTAGATCAATCTGTGAAAGTTTATGAAACTACTGATACTGTGCACAAATTATTTCCAGATTGTCATGTAACTTATCGTGAGATAGAGACAACTACAGACAATGGTCAGACCAGTTTACATTCAATATTGCATGTGCTTCAAAACACTTCATAGACGTGACAAATGATGAATTCGCGTTCTTACGCGTATGAGGCAGAAAGTAAACAGCAGTCGACTATAAAGATGTTTCGAGATAAGCCGGATCCAACAAAAGTTGTGCGCGCACGAAGCACTTCGAAGCCAATATGTAAGTGCCTGATTTTTTGGAACAACTGGGTATATCACAACCATACCACTATTACAGAGCAGAATAATAAATTCTGAGTAATACACCATCTATTTTCCAGTTGTCTTTCAAGAAATTAGGAAAACCCTCCGCCGAAGACGGATCACTCTTCACCACGACAACAACAGTATTTATGTTCATTCAAAGCATCGATTCGATGAGTCATTCTCTATACCCAAAAGATGAACTAAGAGGCCAACGGCACCTGAAAAGGCGGTTGATGCGTTCGGAATCTATTTTTTGGAGATAACTTAATCAAATTGACAAAGAATGCTTAGAAAATTGAAAATTGGTTCCAACGCATGAAAAAGTGCACAGATCCTAATTTAGAAAATAAAACAATTAAGCGGTTTTCGATGATAACAATTTGTTTTCGTTCTCTAATCGCAAAATATAAAAAGCAACTCTCGTATATTGACGAATGGTATATATATGGTATATATATTTTTTATTTTAAAATTTAATTAGAAATTGAGATGGGAGCTTACAAATTTTCTCGAATTATTGCCGTTCATCAAAAGAAATACTGCTGTTGAAAATCTAATCGATCGTCCTTCCTTCTTTTCAATAACATAGCTCTACAAAAATATATATTTTTTTGTTGCCCAATATATTTTTGCAAATTTTGTTGGTTTCAAGTGTGCAGATTACGAATATATTCATGAAAGTATTAAATGAGCTATACTTTTTGTGATATTTGCATTTCTAATATTTTGAAATGCTGCTATATGTCTTTGAGTAATAAAATTTATTTTTCCAGTCAAGATTAGGAACTTGCACTTTTTTTCACTTGTTCCCCGCTATGAGGGTCTTAACCGACAATATACGAAAGGATATGCGGAAGAGTTTAAGGTTTAATAAAAATCAAACGTGAAGATATCAAAATCTAAAAATCTGCAGTCTACGATATGTCCAGTCCCCCCTTTCCAGTTTAAAAGTAATCCTCATGTCTCCAGGCCGTCTATATCCTAGAAATCATTACAATCCATCAGTCGAAGTGGTAAGTAGGGTGAAACAAGCATATACTATGTCAATATTATTTTTTCAAAATGAACTCAGGGATTTGATAAGTGATCAATATATGAATTATATAGAAATTTGTCAACGATTGAAGAAAGTTTTCAGAGTTTGGTAATGTGGATTATATGCTGGTTCTTAAATACGGCGATTCATGAAAGCTAGAGCTTTTATCAAGATGACGGTTTCGGAAATTGCAGCCGGAACCATTCAGTTGGTAGCTGAAATTTTTCTAAGTAACCATAAAGCACCAAATTATGAAGAAATTGTACAAAATGTGTTGACAAACTTTAAGATTTTAAGAGCAAACACAAATATTAGTATAGTATAAGCTAATCTATACCCGTAATCAGCCAGATATAATACCATTAAGAAACAGATAGAGATAGAGCGCGGTTCAACTGATCTAAGCGTGGTGAAAGAAAGTTGTCAAGGTTGATAGGATCGTCCCATTATGGCAGATTATTGCTGATCCTTTTAAAAAGACTAGAAAGTTATAAAGAAAAAGCTCATAAAATTCGCCTTCTCACTTTAGCTCGCCTTCAAACAGATGTTTTTCTGACACCCAGAGGATACTTGGTCTAAGACCGGAAGTCGTGAGCTGCTTGAGCCATATGTAAAAGAATCGTTTCTGGCCACTCCCAAGTAAATGGCGCTCTGAGAACTTTCCTGACTTGTGTGAACTTCTACACATGGCTCCAACATTCCCATACTACACTGCCACAATAAATAACGATATAATAAATAAAGCACCAGAATTTGATTTTCACTACATTTAAAATTTTTCATTTAATGACGATTTCTTTTATTCATTCAATAATATTATAATATATATGTGTGTATTTATTTCAATAAGTTTCAATAATTTATCTCTTCATTAATTTATTTATTTATATAATATCATTATATTTCATTATCTTACCGTTTGTTGTGTCGTATCGTACTTTGTTACTTTTGGTCATAATGCATTGTAATGCTTGTGTATTTCGATTTAATTTGCATTGAAATACCGTTACACAATATACACTGTACTGCAGTTGTAATGCACTCAATAAGAATTATATAAAAATCAAATAATACTCATAAACTTGATAATCATCATAATAATTACATATTTATCAACTATTTCCATAGAGAATCGTCAGAATTCTTCAATTGCTGTCTTATTTAGCATCACAATTGGTAATAAGAAATATTTGCTGTATTCATAATAGTAATCATAATAATACAATAAATAGTAACTAACTTAGACAATAAGTAATGATAAAAGATAGCTTAGAATTTCATTATTTAGTCGTTAAGTACTAATAATTTCCACTCACTTGGTATGTTTGTATGTTATGTATATCGATTTCATTAATTTTTTCATGTTTTCATGTTTTTGTTTTATAAATACTTTTTGTTGCACATTCACATTGGAAAATTATTTACTAAGTTTGAATGATGCGATAATATCACGACCAATGACATTGACTAATATATATTTTTAAAGTTTTTTGTTGCTTTTGCTGAGTGTTACGATTTATTGTTTTCATTTTTTAAACCACAAAACATTGTACGCGCATGCAACGCTACACAGTTTGGTGCAATAAAAAAATTAAATAAAAAAATATAAAAACAGGTAAATAAAAAACAAAGAAGTATTTCAAAAACATTGTTTCTTATTGGGGGAAAAAAATATTAAAAATTAAATAAATATTAGAAAATATAACCAAAAGAGTAACAAACAAATACTTGAATAAAATAAATAAACTAGACTCCCATTATCAGCTTATGGAGAGGATTTTTTTATAGACATTAGTAAAATAAGGTTAGAATTGTACACAATTTTGTTTGAAATTTGGAAGAAATAAAGCTAAGAACATATTAAGTAATAGCGCGAAACCACCTTTAATTTCTTTCCTTTTGTATGCTTTTATTTTCTTATATATACTATATACTTCGTTGGATGACTATGGACTCAACTTGGAAACATGAAGAGATACTTATATTCGACAAGCGTTTAAAATGAGACATATAAAATGGAAAACATACATAAGAAGATACTTTTAAATAGCTATTTAAACTCTTATGCATACTTCTTTAGATTAATTGGAAACTTTAAAATCAAAAAGTTTGGAATCAAATAAATTCAAAAAAAATAGACGACGCTTTTCTTCTGAACATAAGGTAATAACGTTAATCCGTTGAATAAAATATACCGTTAGCAGAAAAAACTGTTGAACAGTTTGTTGGACAAAAGCTACGAAACCAAGCAGAACCTCTTTTAACTAAAATAACTGAATTGTTTGAGATAAAGATGTTCTGATATTTCATATAAAAAAGTCTAGTAGTTACGTTTTTCAAAACTCACAAAAGTATTGTTTATCACATCGCGAGCGAAAGGATATAGTAATAAATGACCGAAAAAAATTAACAATAGTTACTATACCGGGTAAAATGATCAGTTAGGAAGCATTATAGTAATGACAGACGAGCAAAGTTAATGCGCATTGAAATTTTACGGTGACAGACGGCAGAATTGTGCATTAAGACAGCTGATTTTGAAATCTTTTTATATGTATGTATATTAAAAAAAAAGTGAAGTAAAAATAGATAAGAAAAAATGATTAATGGCAATTTTGGTATTTCTGGAAAATCAATATAAATTTATCGAAAAAATTCTAAATACATTAAAAGATAATAAAATGCAATTAAAAGCAATACTTGATTGTAACTCGAAAAAAGTGTGCGAAAAAGTTAAGAATATTGGAAAAATGGATAGCAAACTGTGCGTTCTTTATTTTCTGCTATCTAAAAATATTAAAATCTGTTTTTTGTTGATATACTTGCACATAATTTATTTAGCAATATAACTGCTAACCTCTGATGCTCTAAACGCAAAGGAGGCGGCAGACTTCAAGCGGAATCTGTCAAACAATAGCAAAAATCGGCCATTTTTAACCAGTGTTGCCTGTTCAAATTTGTTAAATTCAGCTAAATGCCAGATATTTTTGTGCAATACTAATTTGCATCAATATGGGTCAAATGCGCAAGTTAACGCACATTAACGCTGTCGTCTGTCTGTCAGAGATCATTTAGTGCCCTCAACTTCACTATGTACTCAGCTTAAATAGCAGCCTAAG